TGTGGGAAATTTCGTCAAACACCTGTTATGCACACAATGCAGATAAAGAATGATTGTAATTGCATATATCAGAATGAAAGCAACTCAGCAAAATCGAAAGGGGAAAAAGGCAAAGAAACCCTAAACTGAGGCAGCTTGGAAACAAAGACGAGAGATCGGCAAAAACACGGTAACAATAGGCGAATAACGTGCGATGCAGTTCAGTGAACAATGAAGTAAGGAAGATGAAGTTGAGTCTTGTCTTTGTGTCATGGTTTGGTTTCATCAGATATTATATAGCTTCTTCTTCTGTCGCATCACATGGAAAAGCTTTTCTGTTAAGTATAACTGATCGTATAGGTTTGATTTGGTTAGGTTAGGTTCTCACACTAGCGGATCCACTGAGGCCCAAACCCAAACTTGTCTTTTACTTCTTTTCGGGCCCAATTTTGTGAACTTCGGAGATATAAATTTTACGGGCCGTGTGCTGCCGTGTGTATACGGATCAAGTGGAATATTTTTCTTTCAATTGACAAAAAAAACATTATTTTTTATTTTTAATTATTGATAATTCTTTTAAAAACATTAAAATAAATATGAAAACAATATATTGAAGTAGACATGAAATTAAAAGAAATTCTTATAAACATTCTGGTTGAACTTTTATTTAAAAACTCTTATTAAATAATAATTTTTTAAAACATTATATTCAAGATAATATTCTAATTTATATATACATAAAATTTCAATTATAGTATGATATGTATAAATAAAATTATAGTATTCAAGATAAACCCTATGAAATATATAAAATAATTTTTTTTATATAGCTAAAATCTATATAGAATATTTATTTTAAATATAAAATTGTTATAAACGTTAAAAATATATATTATATATTTTTAGTGAACGAGAGAAGTTAAAGCTCATAAACTAAAAATTACAAAAAAAAATGCGGATATATATTTATAAACATATAAATTATATTTTAGAATTATGATAAAAAAATTGTTATTATAATATAATTCATAATTTTATTTTAAAAAATAAAATACAATTTAGAATAAAAATGAAATAATAGATAAAAGAGATAAGAGGTTAACAATTTTTTTTTTAAATAATACTCTTATCGTAGACTTTTTATAAAAAAAAATATATAAAAAAAAACATTTCTTGAAAAATAATTTGCAACAGTGTTATGGTTAAAACTAACTACTCTAATTTATATATATAAAAAAATTACATATTAAAAATATTTAATTAATATCAATTTTGATCTTACAGAAATAAACGTTTATCTTGATTTAAAAAAATCCTCTATCTGTCCAAATTCCAAAAGTTGAGGACTCTTCCTTTCTTCAAATTCTGATTCATATTTTCCATAAAGAAATGTTTTATCAACAATAAAATGATAAAATAAGATGCATATTAAATTACATTAAAATAATATTTGAACCACATAGAAGAAAGAAGACCACTTAATGACAATATTTTCCAATCCGTGTTAGACCTTCTATAGCTAGTCTGATTTCTTTTTTTTTTTTCATATTTATTTAAATCAACAACTTTAAAAGGAAGCACGATCGATATTTAAATATAAAAATTAAAACATATAAACTCGTTTTTAGATTAAATTAATGCTTTGATTTATTTTTCTTTGAAGATCCTCAGTCCAATATTTAAATATAGATTAGGATGGAGAGAAGAGAAAGAGTAGAAAAAATTGATAGAACTTTATTGAAAGAGAAGCGGTGACCGATTGCCGATGGAGATGAGGAAGATAACACTTGTCGACCAAAACACATGAGATAAGCAGTGCCATCAAAATGAGGTGTCCTCACGACGACACGTGGAGCTCAACCAAGCCCATTTATTTTATATACATATTGCTTCATGCACTCAAACCAAAGGCAAACCACATAGGGTCCTCTTCTTTCCATCGTTGCATGCATATTTTGCTTCTGGTAATTAACTTGCAATATTAATATAAAGCATTCATTTGTTCGTGAATCGTAATGCATGCATGCATGCAAGGTAATTAACCTGTTGGTGAGAAATATTGAAATAGTGGTGTTTGCATATTGTGCATATTTTGTAGTGAAATGGGAGTGGTGTATCTGAAAGGCACGTCAGGGTGCATGGTTTTGAGGACCAAAGAGAGAAGCGGAAGAAGATGGAAAAGAGGGCAGAGAGTGATCGTTGGTTCGGGGCCAGCAATAGATCATGTTCCTGTTATTGCCACAGACGACCAGCCCTTGACCAAACAAGATCTTATTAACTACTTCGTGTCTGGTTGCAAGCCCAAACAAAAGTGGAGGTCACATATATATACTTATTATTCTATCCTATTTTACTTAATTATGCTATTTCTCATACCAGCTCACAACATGAAAAATACTTTGGTGGTGATCAAAATATATAATCTTATTTATTATTTATTATTTTATTTTATATTTTATGCATTACAAATTTTAAATTACTAAAAAATTTAATAAATTATTTAATTTTAATATATTATATATATTAATCGATAACCTTTTTAAAA